TAAGAACAAGAGCAATGTTTAATTTTCACATCTCTCTCTCCACTATTCTCAGCATACATTGTTCCCTGTAGCTATCCCTGTCTCCCTGGGACCCACCACTGCCAAAGCTGTGGATTTGCTGGTCCATCCCTTGCATTTCACCTTGCCATTTAACTGGCAGAAGACTCCTGTTAAACTCCTGGGTTAAATTCTCTGATGGCAGGTGATACAAAAGAAGACAAAAAATTAATCAGGCAGAAAGGATTGGGTGTTTCACCTGTCCAAGGTGGCCTCTACTTGTAATTTGTGCATAAGGCTCACCAAATGGGCAGCTGAGCAGGAAAAAGCCCGTGGAAGAAGTGGACCTACAATTAAATTTTTCTTATAGTTGCAGGTCCAATCTCAAACTTGTATGAACTACTTTGGCTCAGTTGCAGGCAATGGAGACTAATTTAAACTAGAGAAAATGGTGAGGATTTGTCCCCTGATCACCACCTCATCATCTTCACTTTCTCAGCATATCCTAACAAGAATATCCAGCAGCATGGCTAAAAATAGGACTTAAGTTTCTCAACTTCCCAGCAGACGAGCATGCCAGAGCTACTGTGTATTCCTGTGCTGAGCTCGGTGAGAGGAATACTCCAGGCTGTGTAGGAGGAAGCCTTTGAGGGGAAAATCACCCATAATAAAGGCCTCTTTTATCTGAAACACCTAACATTTCATCTCTTCAAATCCCAACACTGCGCTTTTTTAGGTTTCTATTATGTGTTAAACACATCAAATAGAGTAATTCAGTCTCATCATCTAAATTCAGTGTTGTGATAGCTGAATGAAACTGGGGCAAGCTAGCTAAAAAGGTAATAGAGGCTTTCCATACAGGCAGCATGCGAAATGCATGAGTGCTTTTCTTTCTCCAGGAATAAAAAAAAAAAAAAGGTTTTTGCTTTTCCCCAGTGAGCTTATGTTACGTAGTCAAAGACCATTGCTGGTCTACAGGGCAATGGAATATTCTTGTCCTAGAGAACCTGATCTGTGGGGGCAAGAGAGATGGGGGGCAGTGGGAAGAGAAATCCTCTCAGATCTTAGGCCAGTGGTTTACGCAGGGACTTAACAGTTTTCTCTGATCCAGTACGGACATTCCACATTTTATCATTGTTTTCAAAACTATTGTTGTTTTTTGATATGCAAAAAAGGCCACTGTACAGTTCACATTGGAATGAGGTTCACAATGTGTGTATGGTTCCTTCCATTCAAGAACAAAGAGGTTTCCTGTACAGATTGCAGTTCTTATGTCCACCCCACATACACCGTACATAAAATGGAAAAGTCCTAACAAGCGCATCAATAAATGTATAAAGTACAGCATGAAAACGTCACTCTCTGAAATCTTTGGGCAAAACAGCTCATTCAGTGTGCTCACATGGTCCTTCTAGCATGGCCCAGCCACAGTATTTCTCTTTTCAAAACCTCTAATATAGCAGTGCTTTTACTCCCTGTCCTTCTAGACAGAGAGCTGTAGTTCCAGACAAATTATCAAGACTGCACACAAAGTCTGTGGCAAAACAGCAACCTGAATTGAGTTGCCAATTGACATACTTGCCCTCCATTTCTTTCTGTATCTTTGTTTCAAGACAAAGACTGTCAAAAAATCCCAACAGAATCAACACAGTAGAATTTTAAATTGCACAAGATGCTGGGAATACTGCTCAGTAGACACAAATGCTAATGCACTTGCAATCATTTTTCTCTCCCAATTCTGAGCTGCATTCTCCAATACACACTCTCAATACAGACTTCACATGAAACACAGTGTGTTTAAGGAATTAAGTAGAGACTCTAACACAGATGTGTGTGACAGCTCAATAGAATCTGTGTCCCATCATAAGAACAGGATATGGGGATGCTCTGTCACAGCAGGTTTTGTGGGTCTGGAAAAACGGATACACTCCCTGTGAAATCCTGCAAGCCTCATCCATGAGATCACAAAAATGATGCTCCTCCCCACCCCATCTTCCCAGGTGTCTGCACCTGGCAGTTCAGCATTGCCCCTGTTCGTGGGTATCCCGGTGCCACAGGCTGTGGGACACCCATGGCTGCAGTCCTGGGTTAACAGCTCTGGGTTCACAAGGAAGGCTGAGAGAATTGGAATTGTTCAGCCTGGAGAAGAGAAGCTTTGGGGTCACCTAACTGTGCTTTGCAGTACCTGATGGAGCCCATGAGAAAGACGGAGAGAGACTTTGAACAACGGCCTGGAGTGACAGGACAAAGGGAAATGGTTTCAAACTGACAGGAGTAGGCTTAGATTGGATATTAGGAAGAAATTCTTTACCCTGAGGGTGGGCAGGCCCTGGCACAGGTTGCCCAGAGAAGCTGTGGCTGCCCCATCCCTGGAAGTGTCCAAGGCCCGGTTGGACGGGGCTTGGAGCAACCTGGGCTGGTGGAAGGTGTCCCTGCCCGTGCAGGGGAGTGGAAGTAGATGATCTTTAAGGTCCTTTCCAACCCAGCCCGTTCCTCAGTTCTGTGATTCCATGAACTGCTGTGTGTCCGTGTGTGCCGCTGTGCCCGTGCTTTCCAGGCTTGGAGCTGTGATCCACACAGGAGCAGCTCCCTGCCCTGGGAGCCGGCTCTGCAGAGGAGCACTCAGAGAGCGCCGGCTCTGCCATGAACGTGACGGCCCTGCCACCTGCGAGGCAGCAGCGATGCTGAGCAGGGACACGGACACACAGGCACTGTTTAGTCAGCACATTTTTCCCTGCAGGCCCAAGGGCAGCCCTGTGTGCCGGCACTGGAATGCTGCCCACGGATGGCAGCCGGGTAATGAGGCCGGCACTCCCAGCACACAAACACTGCAGGGAATGCCAACTATCTCGTGATGCTCGGCCCACAATTTTCCTAGTTTGCTTTCTTATGCAATGCACTCGGTTTCTTGTCTATTAGCAAATGGATGTTCTTGGTGGGTATGTAGAGAATTCCTACAAGAACAATATCCTGTTAATGATGTTCCCCAGTTCCACAGTCACCTGCATTTGAGGATTTTAACTTGTCAAGGTTCTACAAACTAAAATTTCCAGTGTTAAACTTCCAGTGCACCTGAGAGGAGAGGGGTAAAATAGACTTTTCCACAAGGTCATAAATATCGAGGTAATAAGCAAAGTAAGTTACTTTCCCAAAACCACAGGACTCATCAGATGGCAAACTAATTAAACCCTAATCCAGCAAAGCCTTTAGTGCGTATGAACTTTACAGCATGTGAATAATGACAATGAAATCAAATACTTAACCTGACCCACATTCTTAAGAAAATTACTAAACAGCATATGCCACACTACTTGATGCAAATCCACACAAACTAACACAGATACCAGGATCCATCTAACCATGAGAAAAACATCTCAGTGTCAGCTGCTTTGTCCTGCTCCACTGCCTCATGTCCTAAATTCATATTATTTCCCTTTTTTTTTTTTGCAAAAAACCTCCATTCTGTATTGCCACATGTGGCTCAGATGTCATTCTATCTTTTAAAACCTGGTGTCAATTTAGTCCAAATTAAGGAGGCTGTCTTATTCTGTCAGCAAGGTACAACCAAACTGCCTTTCTGGATCCCTCATGTCAGATGAACAGTCCTAATTGTTCTAATAATTGGGAGATGAGAGTGGTTCCTGGTCTGACATCTCAGCTCTGTGCAAGTCAATCAGACACACCGGGTATGCAACCAAATGTAATGGAGTTACCTGGACTATTTTTCTCATGTCTCCATTGTGAAAGCTGAAACCACAATGATTCCACAAGACCCTCACAAAGCTCCCTCCCTACTCATGATAAGGATGAACTATTGCACTCAAATGTTTATATTCAGTAAAATATGTTTATAATAATACCTGCTTCATGTACTAGACCTGCGCTTATTCTTTACTAAGTAAACATTTACGTCAAATAAAACATGATCAATTTATAGAGCTTTTGGGAAAGGCTATTTTAGGAAAGTTCTCTACAGCCTTATTAAATGACTTGTTTATAGCCAGCACGTGGCTGTGCCGGTGTAATGTCACAGATGTCACCAGTGTCAGTGACCTGCACCAACAGCCCCAGCTGTGCCACGGCCACGACAGACACCCCATCCCAGCTGTGGGAAGGCGCTGAACACACTCAATGCCCTTTGGACGCCTTTAGTAACCTCTGGACCTTCAGGTCCTCGCAGTTTTAGTGCTCCTCTCCCCATGTTGTGCCTGAGTGCCAGGGGCTCGGCCGGACGGTGAGGGCTGCACCCACCCGCACCCTCACACCGCTGGGCTGGCCAGCTCTGCCCGGCCCTTCGGCCCTCAGGGACCAGCGCTGGCCAGGGCTCCCGGAGCCGAGCTATGAGCCCTGACGTACCTGTGAGGGAGCCGTGACAGGCTGAGCTGGCCGCTGAGGAGCTGAAGCAAGTGGGCATTGCTGAGGTGGGCAGTGAGGGGCTGAAGTGGGAAATGAGGGGCAGAGGAGGGCAATGAAGGGCAGAGGAGGGCAGTGAGGGGCAGAGGAGGGCAGTGAGGGGCAGAGGAGGGCAGTGAGGGGCAGAGGAGGGCAGTGAGGGGCAGAGGAGGGCAGTGAGGGGCAGAGGAGGGCAGTGAGGGGCAGAGGTGGGCAGTGAGGGGCAGAGGAGGGCAGTGAGGGGCAGAGGAGGGCAGTGAGGGGCAGAGGAGGGCAGTGAGGGGCAGAGGGAGATGCTGAGGGGAGCGCTGAGGGGAGCGCTGAGGGGCTGGGACCAGCGGTGAAGGATGACGAGGTCTGAGGTCACTTAGGGGCTGTGGCGGGGGCGGAGCGGGCACTGAGGGGCAGGGGCTGGCACTGTGGGGCTCAGGGGAGTACCGAGGGGCAGCGGCGGGCACTGAGGGGCTCAGGGGAGTACCGAGGGGCAGCGGCGGGCACTGGGTGCCGCGGCGGGGGCGGAGCGGGCACACCCGCAGCCCCGGCGGCCGCGCATGTACCGCGCGGTGATTGCCCGGAGAGAGCGGCGGGGCGGGCCCGGCCGCCTCCCGCCTCCCTGTCTCCCTCCCTCCGTCCGTCCCTCCCGCCGCTCCCCGCCGCCGCAGCCTCGCCTGCCGGCCTCCCTGATGCCGAGGGATGGATAGAGCGGCTGCCCTGCGAGCCGCCGGCATGCTGGAGAGGAAGGAGCGGAGCGGCGGCGAGGCGGCGGGGCCGCGGGGCTTGCCGGCCGTGCGGAGCACGCTGCAGCAGTGCGGGCTGCTGCAGGACCTCATCGACATCTCGCTCTCCAACCTGCGCGGGCTCCGCACCAAGTGCGCCGCGTCCAACGACCTCACGCAGCAGGAGATCCGCACGCTGGAGGTACGGGGCGGGCGGGCGGAGCGGGGCCGCGCTGCCGCCCTGCCCCGCACGGCCGGGGCCGAGGCCGGGCCTGCCCCTCCCGCCGCCCTGTCCCCGCAGCGCCGGGGCCGCGCCCGCGCCTTCCCCCGCGGGCCAGGGCTGTTGGCGGCAGGGAGGGAGGGCGGGACGCCCCCGCAGCCCCGTCCGCGGGTCGGTGCTGCCGGCCCGGCGCGGGCCCCCGGGCGGGAGGCGCGGGCGGAGCGCGGTGCGGGCGGAGCGCGGACAGGTGCGGGGACAGCGCCCGCGGCTGCCCCGCGCTCGGGCGGGTTCGCGGGCGCCGTGCGGGGCCTGCGCGGGCCCCCGTGTCACCGCGGAGCGGGATGCCCTGGTGGCTCCAGGCGCCCCGGCAGGAGGTGCGTGCCCACAGTGCTGTCCTGGGAAGCTGTGCAGGCTCCCCTTTCCCTCAGGTCCTTGGTGTCTGCTCCTTATGGTTCCTGCCCTCTGCTCCAGGCCTGTCTTTCTATCCCTGGCTCAGTTTCACTGATCTAATCTGATCCTCCTTTTCCCTCCGTTGGTGTGGCTCAGACAGCATCACATACCAGGCTGGAGAGACGTTGTGCTGTTTAGAAATACTGCACAAAACTCTTCATGCACAAAACGTGTGCTGTTGTGATGCTCTCAAAGAAGAGCTGGATCTGTACATAAGTCTGCATAAGAAAAGGAGTATAGATTTATTTTTCCTTAGTTCATTTGACCTTTAGATACTTAAATGATGTTTCCTTTTACCTTCCGTGCAGGTAGTATTGCTCTAAGTAAACAATCCCCTCCTGTCCCCTTCTGTGATTCAAGTTTGGTGTGAAGGCTAATGCTCCTTTGCTCTACCTGGTGGCAGAGGCTGTGGAGCTGGATAGAGTATTGGGCCTTTAGGAAGACAGATCATCACAACACTGTAATTGTAACAAACCTACATGCTGCAAAATCCATCACATGAGAAATGAAGGTTGGGAAAAAACTGTGAAACAATAGGTGGTAGATAGCTTTTGGCACAGTCTCATGGAAATCTATCATTCTTCCTTTTTTCTTCCTCTGCCTTTTTTGTGTGTTTTTGTTTGTTTGGTTTGTTTTGTAGGATGTTTTGGTTTGGCTTGTTCTCTTTTTTACCCAAATTTACAGCTCTCTTCTTCCCTTTGTCACCTCCAAATAGCATTCCAAGGGCTATTCTTTCTGTAATAATATTTGTAGAGGCTTTTGGCAGCCCTACTCCCAGCCTTTTTAATGCCCAAACAATATCAATCAGCATCATTTTGGAAAATGATCATCACTGTTTTGATAGTGGACCTGTTCTAAAAGGAAAGCTTTATTCGCAAATGATAAAAGCCTTCAGGTTCTTCTTAAAGCAACAAAAGCTGTTTCTAGCAATAGTTGTTGAGTGTGTGCACTCAGTCCTCTTCAGCGTTTATCTGGTTAAACAAATGTGTGCCACATTCACTGATAATCATAGAATTTATGATCAGAAAAAAATCTTAGCTGAAAAAAATCTCTTTGATGCACAGTCCAGTATGTGATTTCTCTGGGAGTTTAACCAAGTGCTGGATCTCTGCCCACATGTGGAGCCGTGGGCACAGGCACAGACTCTGTGCCCTTTGTGCTGTTCAGTTGCCTGTATCCAGACACACAGCCTGAGCTGTGCCTGACTGCCTGTCACAGAACTGGACTGCAGAGCTGAGAGTCTGTGTTTGCTTCCCCAAGCTGTGCTTCCTCATGGAGCTCCCGAGGGAGGTGGGCCCAGTGCTGTCCCAGGTACCAGGTGTAACTCCTATGCCTTGGTTCTCCTGTCAGCAGTGCCAGTGTGGCCACATGTGCTTGCCTGTTGGATCGTGTCAGCAGAGACCCCCTGTTCCTGCCCAGAGCCGGGGTGCTGGTGGTTTGACTGTGGGCAGCTCCTCAAGAGTCCATCGTTGAGCCAGCACCTGGGAGCTCGGGGATCTCCAGGGCCTGCTGTGCTTCCCTGGTGGCCTTGACGAGTCACCAAATGGCTCTGTGGGCCGTGGTTAGTGGTGCTGGTGGTGCAGCTGCTGGGCCTGCGAGCCACATCTGCACTGTGGGTCTGAATCCTCATGGGGCTTCTCTTCTGTGCAGAAACGTTTTCGTGGAGAAAGAAGGATGAAAAATTACTTGCATCTTCTGTTAGACAGAAGCCACAAAGAAACTATAAAACTTAAGATAGGTAAAAGCAGCAGACTGGAAGGAGAAAGCAGTAGTTTGGGAAGGGAGGAGATTTGATTTTGGAAGTTGAAGAAGTAGTTCCTGAGGTTGAATTCAAGGCTACACTGCGTGATTTGAAGACCGTCCGAAATACTAAGTAAAAAATCAGTGTCTTGATTTCACTTGTTATTGTTCAAAGAGCTAAAAAGGCAGGGAAGTTTCTGCAATGTGATTTGTACATAGCTCATACATCTCTGGAAGTTGTGTAATGCCTAGTCTTGGTGTCAAAACCGTGAAAGTAACAGGTGAAGGGATATCTGCCTGAGCACAACCTCGTGTATGTGAACTCAGACGCTCCCAGCACCGCCCGTGGGGTGGGTGCTGTCAGTGGACGTGGCTGTCTGTACTGCTCCAGGTCAGACAGCAGTGCGTGCTCATGGCCAGTGCTGATCCCAGGGTTAGCACAGCCCTGCAGTAAAGTTCTGCAGGTAGTTGTGATGGGAGTGGAATGCACAGCCCGACACACCAGTGCACATTCATCTAGATGCTTGTGCTGTTGTCTGCACTGCACACATGAGCTTGGTCCGTTTGGTACCGCTTCCCTCCGTGCCTGCTCACAGCTCAGGTGGCTGTCACTGACACCACGTGATGCACTGTGTGTGTCACCCAGTCGAGAACACCAGAACACCAGCCTGACCCGGGCGACTTGAGCGCATGCTTAGGTCCCTCCCAGTTTACTGAAGTGCTCTAAGTCCTTCCTCATTCCTCTTGTCTGTAAGGTCTTCTCAAAATAAAGCACATGGTAGATAAGGATTTCTGGGGCCTTGACAGGTACAGATAAGCATCACGGTGGCTCAGATGAGTGCAGGGAGAACTTTCTGTGATACAGGGAGGAGCGGAAAGAAAGGACTGTGGGAATTGCTTGCAGAGAATACGTTGAGTGTAGATGTGTTACGTGAGCTGGCCCTGTTTCACATGTATGAAGGCTGTTTCTTAGAAGGGCAGGGAGTTTCCCTGTAGTGGAAAGTAGATTCTGTTAGTTTGGTTATTAGCAGTCTGGGTTCTCTGATGCCACAAGGACTGGTAATTTTTTTAAAGTTTTCTATGTTCTGCCCAATAAGTGCTGGGGTGTTTTTCTTTCTACCCAGTGCTGGTCTGTGCTTTCAGTTCTGTCCTAGCAGGTTTACTCACTTCTGAAGTTGACTACAAAACTGAAATGGAAAATCACAGTAATTTTAACCCATACGTAAGAGAGCAAGAAATGTCTTGCCATGTGGTGAGCATCCAGTGTTGTTCCAAGCATCCTTGGAAAGAAATAGCTCTGTCAGCTTTTACCTCTGTCCCTACACTAATCCCTTGCGTGACTCTTAAATTGGTTTCACAATGTTAGAAGCATATTATTTTTAGCCTTTTTTTTTTTTTTTTGTGAAATCAGTATCTTTTTGGATTCATTTTCCTTGCTGGGAAGCTGATGATGGGACTGGACATCTGTAGTGAAGCACTTCCAACTGCAGCTCAAGGCAGCGTGCTGGAGGTGAGGAGAAGAATAAAGGCCTGGGTCCTGTCAGCAGGGAAGGTTCCTGGTTTCTCAGTCTGTTCTGCTGGAAACAGCTGCTTTGGATAGCTGTGGGAATTCCCAGGCCAAGTGAGACACCTTAGCCCCAGCCCTTTTAACTGCAGCAAAGGTGAGGCAGCCCCAGGCTGAACCGAGACCTGGAGTGGGTTTAGACTGCAGAGGTGTTTTCTCCCTGCATGGTTCTTGCCTCACAGGAGCTGACTGCAGTGTTCCTGGCAGGGCAGCTGCCTCCAGACTGGTTCTGGTGGGAGTGTCGGGGTGGGGCTGTAGGCACACATTGCTCCCTTCTGCCTGTGCTTTTACAAGTGTCCTCCAGGCTCCCTGGCTGGACTCAGTCCCTGACAGAGACCCTCCTGGCCTGTGGGCAAAGACCACTTTGACTTCTTCTTCAGGAGTGTCTTCTGTTCAGCACCTGGAGAGAGCAGAGCAGCAGATCAGACAGTCTGACTCCAGCTGTGCTGTGTCACAAATGTCAGGCTACTCTGCACAGATCAGTCGTTCACAGTGGCTGAATGATACCTGTGTATTAAATCTGTTTGAACTTGCTTTGGCATTATCTCGATTCATTTGGCAATTTGTCCAGAAAAGGCTTATCTTACCAAGCAATCTCTGAGCAGAAGCAAATGCTTTGAAAATGGGGGGGAAAGCATGAGAGGAGAGGAAGAGGAATTGTAATGGTCCACACTTGCAGGCTGGAAGTGGTATGCATAAGGAAAGGACCACTGCCTGTTTATAAATTGGAAGAAGTGGGAGTAGTGAGTATTTCAGGCCAAACTCCAACCTGTAGCCACATGTTTATGAGCCATGTTCAGCTGAAAGGACTTCCTTTCCCAGCAGGTCTTATGTAAGAGAAGAAGAAAGTCTGTTACTTCATCTTACTTTTTGCGTATATGTAACACATTTGTTTTTCTTAAAGGTGTCTTTTGGTTTTGTAGGACTCTCTTTTTCTTAAATTTGTTCACTTGCACCAGATAGGCTTCGGCAGAGGTTCTGTTTCACTTGGGAGGAGGGGGAACCATATAGTATTGTCCAGTCTGTGGACATCATCTGTCCTTTGTGACACCGTGTCTCTGTATATGATCAGAATTTTTACACCATAATGAGATTTAGCACATCTCCTACCGTTGATTTTTATAAATGTTGGCACAAAAGGTCAGCAGCAGTGTGGTCACTGGATTACAGTAAAGCGGAGTTATTCCTGCTCATCTTCGTGCGGTCAGCTTGGAGACCCTTCTCGGCA